GAATCAAGCTAAGATCTATACAAAAATAGATCTTCCGGGAGCATATAATCTAGTACACATCAAAGAAGGAGATGAATGGAAGACTGCGTTTCAAACTAGGTATGGACATTTTGAATACAACGTCATGCCTTTTGGACTTACAAATGTACCAGCAGCTTTTCAACATCTAATGAATGATATTTTTTGAGACTTTTTGGACGATTTTGTGGTTTGTTATTTAGACGATATCTTGATCTATTCTAAGAATCCATTCTAAGAAGAACATAAAGTTCATGTTCATTGTGTGTTACAAAAATTAAGAGATGCAGGACTCTATGCCAAGATAGAAAAGTATGTATTCCACACTACTCAAGTCGATTTCTTAGGTTACATCATTTCAAATGATGGAATTATGATGGATCCTAAGAAAGTTCAAACTAATATAGATTGGAAGATTCCAAAAATGGTAAGAGATATCCAATGTTTTTTGGGATTTGCCAACTACTATCGGATCTTCATCAAAGACTTCTCTCGAGTTGCAACTCCACTTACATGTTTGACTTGTAAAGACAAATTCCAATGGAATCAAGAAGCGGAAGTTGCTTTTGAATCTTTGAAGACAGCGTTTGTTTCTGCACTAATCTTGTATCGTGTTGATTTTTCCAAAGCATTCTTTATGGAAACAGATGCATCGAACTTTGCTCTGGGTGTGGTTTTATCACAAATGGGAACAGATGACAAACTTCATCCAGTAGCCTTTCATTCAATAAAATTCTCAGCAGCAGAAATCAATTATGAGATCTACGACAAAGAACTTCTTACAATTGTGGATTCTTTTTAAGAATGGCATCATTATCTAGAAGGTGCTTCCAGTCTAGTCACCATATATACGGATCACAAGAACCTCGAATATTTTATGTTAGCACACGTATTAAATCGTTGTCAAGCTCGTTGGAGCATGTATTTATCAAGATTCGAGTTCATCATCACTTATCGACCAGGAAAATAACAAGGTTTATCCGATGCCTTGTCTAGACGTTCTTATTTTGCACCAAAAGAAAGAGATGCAGCTTTTGAGCAACAAAGAACAGTTCTCTTGAAGCCAAAGTAATTTCATCTTCGAGCAATAAAATCAACATTGACTGTTGATTTAACTTTTCTTAAGCAAGTCTAGTTAAGTATGTCTTCAGACCCTCTTGTTTATGATATCAAGAATAATTCTTCTAAATCTCATGATCCCTCTAAATTTGAATTCAAGAACAACCTACTCTATTTTGAAGGATGCCTATATGTTCTAGAAGGAGAAGCACATTTACGTGTTCTTCAAGCTCGTCACGACTTCCCAGCAGCAAGACATTTTAGATATAATAAGACTTTGGAGCTGATATCTAGGGATTTTTGGTGGCCTCAAATGTGGAAGGCAATCAAAGATTTTGTACAATCATGTGATGTTTACTCAAGATCAAAAACTCCTTGTCATCGACCTTTTGGACTTCTTTAGCCATTACCCATTCCAGAATAACTATGGTCTTCTGTTTCTATGGACTTCATCACGAATCTTCCAATCTCAGGTTCTTATGATTCTATATTCGTGATAGTAGATCGTTTTACCAAGATGGCACATTTTGTACCATGTACAAAATCTATCACAGGTGAAGAAATAGCTAAGCTCTTTTTTGACAATATCTATTGCTATCATGGATTACTTAAGGATATTATATCAGATAGGGGAACTCAATTTGTATCAAGATTTTGGTGGACTCTTTTCAAGATTCTAAAAGTAGATATAAAACTATCTTCGACATTCCATCCTCAAACTGATGGACAAACAGAGCGTGTTAATCAAGTTTTGGAGCAATATTTAAGATGTACCATTAACTACCAATAAGATGATTGGACAACTCTTTTGTCATTGGCAGAGTTTGCTTACAATAATACTGTACATTCTTCTACAAAACAAACACCTTTCTTTGCTAATTATGGTTATTATCCACAACTTGATACTTTTGACTTTTCAAAAGTTGATAATCCTGCTGGGAAAGATTTGGCGATACATTTATCAGAGCTACATTCAACAATGAAGGCGTAGTTAAAAGAGGCTCAAGAACAACAAAAGATTAATGTGGATGTCTATCGAAAGGAACAACCACCATTCATCTTGGGTGATAAGGTATGGCTACTTCATTGCAATATCAAGACCACTCGTCCTTGTGACAAGTTGGACTATCGAAGGTTGGGACCATTTTCTATTTCTGCACAAATTAATCCAGTTGCATATTGTTTACATCTACCGGAGTCAATGAAAATCCATCTAGTATTCCACGTGTCTCTTCTTGAACCATACAAGATAGTGGACATACCAAGAAGACGACAAGCTCCACCTCCTCCTATAGAAGTGAACAATAATGAAGAGTTTGAAGTAGAAGAAGTCTTAGATTCAAGGCGGCGCCAAAATAAATTGGAATATCTTATCCATTGGCATGGATATAGTATTAGTGAACGTACATGGGAGCCAATAAAAAATCTTACAAATGCAGCAAAGGCGATGGAGGCTTTTCATCGACAACATCCATCAAAATCAAGATGAAAACCTTCTTTATAAAAGAAACAACATCTAGGCAAGATAACATTCTACTTTCAATCCTTGTTCGTGGCTTCTTTGTAGTTGTGACGTTCAGGAGATGGAGAACCAACAACCAGTGGATTCGACTCAAGAGCCTTCATTTGCTGACCTGTCAGATAAGACATTACGATTGTCACAACCTTCAAGACGACGCAATCAAGATGAAGATCTTCAAGAACGACATGTTCTTCCTCGAATAGATGGTGAGATACAACGCGTTTGGTATCACGATTTGGGAAGGGACTCCCGATGTTTGGTGATTTTGCTAGAGGTAGGAACAACTCCTAATGGTGTTCCAAATGTTCTATCCGAAGGAAGTTATGAAGGCCTCAACAATGATCAAATAACTAGGTGGTCTTCCCGCCCTGATATAGGACACTATCGATGGTTGAGAGGCCCTATCAATCATCTTCAAAGAGAACAAAGATCAGAGTATGTAGCGAATACAATTCGTCACATCATAGATTTCTTCAACATATGATGACCGCTCCTCGTGGAACTCGTCCCTAGAAGAGGGGGTAATGTCACGGACATACTCATATAAGCTAATAATTACATATACATATAAGTAAAAGTAAGTTAATTCTATAGTATTTAATATAGAAGCTTTTTAGAAGCTTCATAAACATTGCTTTGACTTCATAGGTGTCTTTAATTGACTTTTTGGATTAGAAACGTGGTCAACAAGTTGGCCATGTGCCACACATGTTGTTAGCTTGAAGATCAAGCTAACTATGTGGCCCACACGTAGAAAACACTTGCCTTGTAAGTCAAGGCATGTATCCTACAAAGTCAACACATATTGGAGGTCCTATAGAACGTCGCCATGTAGCCCCTAGTTAGATAGTATATATAGAGACAAGAGTGAAGCCTTCTTCACTCTTGTCAACTCCTTTCTTGCTTCTAGTCTAGTTTCAAGGGTCTCTAGTTTTCTTGTCTTTTGGCAATAGCCATTTTAGTTTCTCTTTCAATATACATACTCATTTATTTATATTTTGTTATCTTTCTTTGAGTGAAGGCTCACTTATCTGGATTATTTTTTCATCATGTTCTTGTCCTTGACAACAAGAAGATAATATATAGACAAGATATTTGAGAATTTTTGTTGTTTTCTAGGATAATATATTATATTCAATATAAATTGTAACAAAGACATATTGCAATGAGTTTGGCAATAATTTAAATCATGTTTTGATATTAAATACTTAAGATTCTTGTGATTAGTGTAAATTATGATAGAATAAGAATTATCTTCTAAGTAGAAATGCTTTTCTTAGAATGAATCTATAATAATAAAAATTGATTTATTATAGATTTTATAATTAATCTCTATTGTTTAGAATTTTGCTGAATAAAAAGCAATAAGATGGATTGTTTGCATCTATTTATAATAAAATTATATTTGATGTAAAATTTGCTGAGTATATTTCTATAAAAAAACATATTTAAAAATTTTAGCAACATAAATTAGGAGTTGAGATACATGCTATTTTCAAACCTTAGAATGTTTTTTTATAAAAATAATTCTAGATAACATGGTTAACATTAGTTATTATAAAAAAAAAAAAGAATTTATTGTCAAGACTTGATAGTTTTTTAATAAAAGTATATATTTAAAACTAATAATAATAGATTTTTTATAAAATAAAATATACTAAAATGACTGTTATTTTTAAAAAATACAAAAGAATTTGGAACAAAGATCAAAGTATAAGAAAAGCATTGATATGATAGGTAATGGTCTTAATCTTGCATCCATATGTATATGTATCAATATGGTGACTAAGTGGACACATTTTAAGAACCATAACATTTGAAGAAATATTGACTACATTCCAAGATTATTTTATGGTAATTTCTTTAATGTAAGAAACTTCTAAAATAAATTAATTAGCTATATGATGTATCTAAGAATTCAAAAAATAAAATATCTATATGTTGATTATTATTTTAAATATTATTTTAATATTATTTTATGAGCAGAAGTAGTTTTTTCATACTCCTCCTAATTTTATTTACTTAAGAGTTTAGGTGTTTTAATAAATACTTTCAAAATTTTGCAATAAATACTTTCAATTTTTTTGTAAATGAACATGCAAGGATATAAATATGCAATGATAGAATAATATAGAAACATGCTTATATGTGTATAGAAAAAAGAAAGAACACATAATAATCAACATGGTGTAATCATTAGATATAAATGTATATTCAATATAGTATATACATTATTATTCGAGAATCCGTGCGAGAAAGTAAAAGTTCGCACAGGAGGCGAGGGCTCGTGCGAAAAAGCAAAAGCGTGAAACAAAATAAAAGGAAAAAGTATGAAGCGGAGACCCCTCGCGCGGCCCGTGCGAGAAAGTAAAAAAAATGAGAGGTATTGTGCTGCTTGATTGCTTTGTAAGGGGGTTTAGGGTTTAAGCTCTTCCTTCCTTCGCTAGCCCCGCTTCTGCTCTGCCGGGGGCCTCCTCCTCCTTCCTTCCTCCGTCCCTAGCTATCTCGATTCCTCTGGCTCATGCCCACTCGTTCATGATTCCGGGTTCGGATTCTCCCCGCTCTACCTCTCTGACTGAGCAGTATGGACGACGAGGGATTGAAACCAATGTTGCTGCGCGCTGTGATGGCAACTCATCTTGCTGAGGGGAAGGATGTTAGCGAGATGCCGACTCTTCTTTCCAATGCTGTGGCGTCGATTCGACAGCACAGCCTGCTGCGGGAGACTTCGCGATCGCCTGTCGCTTCTGGGTTGAAGACCAAGTCGGGATTGAATGCCAGTAAAGCTGCGAACGATGCTTGGATGGAGAAAGTGTTTAGGTTGCTCTCCGACAGCGTGGTATGTGTTTTTGCAAAAGAGTGCTTGTGTTTTGTGAGCATTCTCTCCTTTTTGTAGTTACTTGGTTGACGACCTGCAATGCAGTTGCGGTGAATCCTCCAGGATTTACTGAAAGTTGTGAGGATAATTGCGAGTTGGTGAGATGAAGTGCAATCAAGAGATTGATCTGGACTGGGGTATTCTCAGGCTGAAAATAAGTGGGCAGGAATTTGTTTGCTTGGAGTGACCTACCGTGAGTGTTCACGACAGCGATTCCTGGAGTGCTTCAATTCGTGGTCCCTGAAGCTACTACCATTTTTGAAGGTACCATCCTATTTTACAGAAGAAGCTATGGAAACCTACTGGTGCTTTGAAGTTTCAGTTGTTTCATGTTTCCTTCTATAACTGAACACTGAATTTGTAATGCAGCAACAAACAGAGCCTGTTTTCGTGAGAGCGGCCGCCTGTGCTTCACTTACGGACCTTTTTGTTAGGTGAGCTCAGAAGTTCTCTCTATTAAATATTGAGTACTTAAATTTTAATTTCAACAGGAAAGCTACTCTAGATTGTAAGTTAGGGTTCGAGTACGCTGTAATTTTACTCATTGTTCTTGGGTGTAGGCTGGCTGGGTTTACAGAGATGATTGGTGTGCGTCGAGATGGTTCCAGCCTCATCTCCAAGCTTGTTCAACCCTTGTTGCAAATTATTGGAGACAAGGACTCAAATGTCTTATTGGTCTGTATTTTACATGGCACTTCAGAAGATGGAGTAATGATTTTGTGGGTGGGCTTATTGGTCTGAGCATGGGTTCAGGGTTCATAACTTTCAGCATTGTATTTTATTTAGGAATCATGCGTGTGCACGTTAATTGATATTGTCGATGCCCTGTGGTTGCAGAATGAGGCAATGGACCTGCTAATTGCAATTTTAAAGAGCTTCCCAAGCTGTCTCCGTGCACAGTCGATTAACGTACGTCTTTTCTTCCAAACGTTGGCAGCCTGTGAGACGTTATCATCTTGGACCTTTTTAATGTACGACTTTTCTGAATCTCACGCTAGTCTTGTTTGAGTTATACAGATTGAAGTTCTACTGGTTGCCCGGCTTACGGACCTTAGTTGTCAATCAAATGCCTGTGAGGTAACCCCTCTTCTCTTTGCCCGAATGTTACTAGACTTGACCTTTAGAACCTGTTCTCTCGTCTCAAAATCTTAACTTCTATTCCGACATTTCTTTTAGGGGGTGGACCAATGTTACCATGGTATGTATTAAACAAATCTTATCTTGTTAAAATGCTCACATGTTCCACTCCGGTGTTATGTATTCATGCAGAAATGTGCTAAAGCATTGGGGTTCCTTCCTGTAGTGCACGGAGATGCTGCAACTTGGAGTTCCTTTATACGTCGCGTCTTAATTGCAATCAATTCTGACCTCGATTTTGCTTTCCGAGGCATGGAAGATCGTAAGTACTTAGCTTATCATCCTTCATGTGTGAGGGATTCTTGTTTAACAACAGTTTTGCACTTTCAATGTTGCTCCTAAGTGGCAGGCGGAAGGTAATAATTACAGTGATATCAAGCTGATATTTCATGTCACAGCTTCTGTCGGGGAGAGTGCCACTAGAGCTTTGCAGCCTCAGGGACATGACACACCACGGGCCTTGGGAATTCCAGCTGTGCCTGCCAGTTCTGGCATTCAAACTGGCAATAACTTTATGCGTCAGCTTCTGCCGCGTATCTCTTATCTCTTGCAGTGCTGCAACTACCTGTTGACCAGTCCATATCCAACGTCGGTAATATTCCTGTCAATGATACATTCATATTTTCATAATGTCTTATTTCAGAAAGTTCATCTGGTGGCTCCATGCACGACAAAATTTGCGGAGCCTTCTCATTAAATCGGTTGAATATGCGCGTATCAGCCTAGACATTCACTTCTGCTGCTATGTCTCTAGTTTCCAAAGTTTCTTCCACGGTTTCATTAAATTCAGGAAGATTGTAACTTCTTGTCATTGTTATGCATATTGGCAAGTTGTGCTGCATAGAATGCTTCGATTCAAAGTCGATTGAAATAGTGCACATCATGGATTTAGGCCATTTCTAGAAGGTTATCTTTACATTATTTATTGAATTGAATACAGGTGCCAGCTCCAATTGGCCCACTGTTGGCTCTCGTAGTGCGAATTCTTGGAGTGGATGGTTCAAAATCATCTTCAGCTTTGAGTTCAACTGTATTTTCCTCCCAGCAAGTAGCTCTACGTTCAGAACTTCCATCCTTGCACCTCAGTGCGCTGGGACTCCTAGCTGCAACTTTACGTGGTGTTCGGGGGTACTAATACTTCCATTATTTCCCCCTCACCATTTCCTTGTCTGTCTTGGTTTAGCTCTCAACATTATTTACTAAAACTTTTCATTCAATTACCCACGTTTTTCACGTTATGCTCAGTTTCCTCATCACCGTTTTATACTTTTTCTATCGCTCTCTCATTTGGAGCAATCGCGGTGTATTTGTTCTGAATCTGGATATGTCGTGATGGCTCGTGATAGTCAGTTGGTACTGAGAGGAGCTGCTATTGCCCGTCTATTGACTGACCACTTCCGGCATTCTGGAGGAGTGTACTCCAGCCTCCGTATCAAGCTTTACGACGTATCTCGCCAGCTCTTTGTTCTCATGGGTGCAGGTGAGTACACGTTTTGTAAATTACCACATTGAATATTATGTTGCTCAATTTTAAAAAATGCAAATGTTCGAGTTCAAGTGTGAGAAATGAATCATCGTTTTTTCTTCGAATTTGGAAATCAGGAATGGCATCTGCCTTAGCACCAGCAGTTGTGCGAAGTGCACTCTTTGACTTGAAGGGTTCAACTTCGAGAGAGCATCTTTCGTTTTCTAACTCAATGAAGGTACCTGAAGTCGGTAATGATTCTGTAAAGCTTAACCCTAGAAAGCGCAAGGAACCTGGTAGTGTGCCAGTTGAACAATCGATCAATGGCGTAGCTGAATCAGCAAAAGATGAAGGAGACGGTAAACCAGCTTTGGCAGTTCAGGTTGCTGCACTTCAAGCGCTCGAAGCACTTCTTAACACTGTGAGTATTGGCTTTTCTTAGTTTTTACATGATTTCATGTTCTCATCTGATACATGTAAGCAAACAGAAATGCCCATCTAAAGTTCACTCGAATGCTGAGAATACTATTGTTTTCACTTGATGTTCAGAAGGCTCGTACTTGAGGAGAAACTGTCATTAAGTACTAAAACATAAAATTCTGTTGTTACGAATGCATGAGTGGTATTCTTGTAAGGCTGATTGTTATCATTTGTGTGGAACTTCTTATATGCATGCTGATTTATTTAGAGTTGATTTCATTAAAAAATCCGCTGAATCTTGAAGCGCCGATGTGGAGGAAGTTCGGCCATTATGACTTATGCTTGCACTATTCTTCGTTGCAGGGCGGCGCTTTACTCCCAGAACGTTGGAGAGCAGAAGTTGATGCGGTGCTCGCTGGCGTTGCAATTGGTGTTGCAGCTGATACAACATCATTCAATTTATCATGCGATGAAGATATTGGTTTTTCTAGAAGTCCCGATGGCAAATCAGTTCCTATCCACTTTCAAGTGGCTGCTTACCAGGCCCTGCTGTCTTCACTGTTAGCACCTAGTGGCCATCGTCCGCCTTACTTGGCTGTAGGACTAGCACTGTTTCGAAATGGTAAGCTTTGAGATTTTCCTTCTTAAAATCTTAACGTTAGAGGTGGTTTCAAGGCATCATTGCAGAGCACGTTTAAGGATCCTGAGGTGTCTAGTGTTAATATGAATGGTTAGAATGAAGTCACTTATTAGTGAACAGTTGCTGTCCAAATCTTGCTGGGTTTCTCTAACTTATCTTAGGGTCATGCTACTGATAGATTAGGCATTGTTCCTTGTTTGATTAGGAACGTTCAATTCCGTATTATGAGGAGGCTATTGCAAGAGATTCCTCATCTGACGTTCGCACTGAAGCAATTTCATATGTGCCCTTCCTTGCAGGACGGAAGGAAGTCGGAACTGAAATAGCAACAGTATGTGCCCGAGCCCTAACGGCTCTAGAGCTCCTTATTCATCCCCGATGTTTGCCACCTGCATATGTGTTCACTGAGATGGGTGCAGGGCTTACCAATTCCGGTTCGTCTCTGCAGGATAAATCTAGACACCTATCCAGAGGGGGGAATGAATACGGTCTTTCTGGGGGATCATCCAAGAAGTTTGGATACGTGTCAATGGATCCTTGGTCGGAAGTTGATACATGGCTTGGGTATGGTGAGGCTACTGGTGATGACTTAATAACACGGCCAGACAGCAGCAATGCTCCTAACGGTGCTGTCAACGGAAATCCGGGAAATTTAGCGGCCGACAGGGTAACCTCCACCCATCATGAGGCTACTGGTGATGACGTAATAACACGTCCAGACAGCAGCAATGCTCCTAACGGTGCTGCCAACGGAAGTCCGGGAAATTTAGCGGCCGACAGGGTAACCTCCACCCATCATGCAAGTTCGGACCTGGTTACCGTTACCAGTAGCTTAGCAACTTCTACGATAGTGAAAACATTAGTGACATTTAGCACAAGTCAAGGTAATCTAGAGCCAGGTTCAGTTTTAGAGAGAGAGACCGAAAGAGTGGCAGTGTCGACTTCAGGAGTTTCAACATCCAAGGATCAGCTTCAACAGTTTCCAAAGGTGGTGTCGACTTCAGGAGTTTCAGGAGCTCCTGAAACTGTTGAAGCTGTTCCTTGGATGTCAAAGGCAGTGTCGACTTCATTAGTTTCACCATCCAAGGATCATGATGTTGGATCAGACTCTGACTCGGATGGGCCTCTTCCAGCCATCGTTGACGGAGATCCTGATTCCGAATCAGATTGAGGAGATTTTCGCAGGGTTTGTTCACCTACCGGTAATAGTTGCAGCCAACGCAAATATGTATTCTATTGAACATTGAAGACTTAGGTTCTTCAATGCACGAGAGCGTGTCACCAATTTTGGTATTTCTCTAATTTCCTTTAAATCACATTGGAAGCAGTGGGCGGGGTACTGTGGGTGTGCACCTCTGCTTGTTTCTGCTTTTAACTGAGATTCTGTGTGACGACCCCTGGTGCCTCTTTTGTATCATGGACTTTGTGTAAATTTCTAGGTCACTCTGAACTCTAAAAGTAATCACATGTTTTGGAAGTGTTCTTTTATAGATTACCTAGATGAGTTTTCCTGTGCAATGAACTGGTCTATCAGAAAGTAGTAGCTGCCTGGACAAGGCTGGCACTGTGCATTCATATTCACTGAATTGTTTGTAGTGAATCAGGAATTTTGGCTTTCACATGGCTCCTGATTCGCATTAAGTTGGTTGGGAGAATTAAAAGGATCTTTAACAGAGAGGCTGTCCGTGTGCAACTGTCATGAATATGGAATAGACGAGAGTATATAGGATTCTCTATGGAGAAGGCCTTAGCCATTTGCGAAGTGGGTAATGGCATTTCCATGGAGAAAGTGTAATGCAGGAACGAGAATTCTTTCAAGAAAGGTGAAGGGATTGGAGTTGTATTTTAGAACTATGAATGCTTTGTGGTCGTGGCCTATCCTTGTCTAATAAACATTTTAATATATTAAATTGTAAAGTATTATGTCTACAACTTCAAAAGTGCATTTATCTACCATAGAGACTTTATTTCAAACTACCAACCTTGTCTGGATTACCATTTCTGTCAAATCCATTATTTTTTTGAGTATTTTACAAGAATGTGCCATCCAATTAGGCAATGCAATGAATTAATCAATACAATGAATTAATCAGTTGGAATTTTAATGCATATATGTGTTGTTGTTTGTCCCTTTTTCAATTACAACTTTGCAATTAAAAATAATGAAACCACAAAAAAAAAAATACTGTTGTCTGATCAAATGTCCTTAATAAAAGTTATTTTATAAAACATTTTTTAGTTGCATTAAAGGCCATCAAAAAAAAAAAAAAAAAAAAAAAAAAAAACTAAATTCTTGTAATTTGCAAAGTTCTATATTACTCTATTATGCAATGCATTAATTCTTAATAAACATTTTTTTTTCTTCTCAACTTCATCTTGTAATTTTTTAATATTTTTAATTGATTATTTATAGATTAAGAGATAATTGTATAATTTACTAAAATACATTGCTATTGTTAACAAATTAAAATCTTGAAGATTTTTTTTAATCAATGCTTTTAATTTTTTATGTACATATAATAATGTATAGTTTTTAATTATAAATTTTGAAAAATATTCAAGTCTTTTATTTAAAAAAAAAAAAAAACTTAAAATAAATAAATAGTTAGTTGAATTTTTTTATTAACTTCTATTTCAAATTGCTATAGGATTTTTTTTGGTAATTTTTGTGCAAAGATAATAACAAAAAGATTTTAGAGTTAATAATGAGCAATTATTAGTTGTACTACTTATATGTGGTGTTGTTATTCCTTGTTGGAGGTGTCAAGTTCAAAAGTTGTGCATGTTATCTTAAAATCCATGTAAGTAACATTATTTATTATAAAAGTATTTTTGAGTAAGTAATATCTCTTATTATTGCAAAAACAAATTTTTAAAAAATATCTACCATTTGTCAAGGACATGAATTTCAAAGAAAGAAAACCTCAATACACTCTTGTGTCACTCAAAAAGACTAGATAATCACTTGAAAATAATATAGTATTAAACTAGAATGGCTATTGCTAAAGATAAGAAGATTAGAAAGTCTTAAAACAAGACTTAAGATTAGAAAGGCATTGATAAGACTAAAGAAGGCTTTACTCTTATCTCCATATATATTCTTAACTAGGAGCTATGTGGGAGTGTCATATAGGACCTTCAAAATGTGTTGACTTTGCAAGACACATATCTTAACTTGTAAGGCAAGTTTTTTATATGTGTGCCATATGGTTAGCTTGTTTTGTAAGCTACTAACACGTGATTAACTTGTTGACTAAGTTTCTATCCTATCAATCAACTATAAAGATATGTAAAGTCAAAGTAGCATCTATGAAGCTTCTAAGAAACTTCTCTGAAAAATATTATGAAATAAATTTATTTTTATTTACTTCTACTTAATCATATAAGTAAATATCAAAGTAAATATGTCTGTGAAATTGTCCTCCCTTCTGAAGATGAATTCCACAAAGAGCGGACCTCATATGTTGAGGAAATCTAAGATGTGGAAAATTGTATTTACTACATACTCTAATCTTTATTCTCTTCGAAGATAATTGATAGGTCCTCTCAATCATTAATAGTATCTCATAATAAGCCATGAAGAAGACCTTTCTATTTGATTGTTGTTGAGGCCTTTGTAACTTCCTTCAAAAAAAACATTTGGAGCACTGTTAAGAGTCATTCCTACCTCTAATAAAATCATTAAATATCGGGAGTTTCTTCCAAGGTTGTGATACCAAATATGTTATATTTTGCTATCTATTCAAAAAAAGATGTGTTATTCTTAAGGATCTTCATCTTGATTATGTCATCTTGAAGGTTGTCACAATTGCAATTTTTGTTCAATAAGTTAGTAAGTAATAGCTCTTGAGTTGAATTTATTGATTATTGGTTTCCCATCTTCTTAGTGTCATGAATGCACAAAAATACTAAATAAGAATAGAAGATAGAATGCTATCTTTTTTAGATCTTATTTCTTTTATAATAAAGATTTTCTATTCTTCATCTTGATTTTGATGGATGTCATCAATGAAAAACTTCAACCTTTTTCATTCCATTTGAAAGATTCTTTGCTAGCTTCCATATGTGTTGTTGGAGTAGAATGAATTTGTCTTAAGAAAGGGCTAGAATTTTGGTTGTCACTAATTATTCAATCAAGTCTCAAGTTGAAAAAACACCAAGTTTATATATAAATTTGTTCCTCTATAGATAATAACATCATTTCATAAGTCCTAAGTATCAAAGAATATCCAAAATATGATAAAATTATTCTAGACCCTTATATGTCTTTAAGGTGAATTTTTCTAAACTTCAATAGATCATATCTTATAATTAGATTGTTTAAATAAGCTAAAATTTTATAAAAAATATTGATGTATTTTAAACAACTACTACAACAAATTTCAATCAAAAATTCATTATAAATCTTAAAATATTGCCAAAATCCTAATAGTAGCTTCAAACCCTTACTTAAATATACATGTGTGCAATTTTCTTTATATCTCACAAATTAAATATTTAAATACCATAAAATTTTGATATACAGCTTTTTAACATAATAACATACACTTTTGAAAATTTTGACCCAAGAATTTGTCTGAAAACTCAAGATATGGCTTCAACCATCCCTATCAACAAAATGACTCACTTATTGCCTTTGAATTATATATGATGTCTTCAATGCTCTATAACTCCTTTATAAAAATTCTAAATATAGTAATATTTTTATAAAATATATAGGTCTTGAAATCATTCTTACAATTGCATCTTTTGATTTCCAAAATCTATTTTATAAATCTTCATATCTTCAAAAGAGCAACAATATGTCTTAAAAAAATACCTTAACTTCAAACGGCTATAACTTCATCACCCTAATTCCTAAACCTCTAAAATTTATGCATAAATTATAGCTCAAACTCTAAACCTTATAATTCTTACTTTTGATTTTCAAATGCTTCTTTTGAAATTACCAAAATCATTTTGATGATTGCAAATAGCGTCTTGAGAGCCTATTGGATATGGCTTTTGATCAATAGGGATGAAGATCCTCACCTCTTATCTTCATCCATCCATACCTTGCTTTCATTCCATCAAATAAGCTTCTTAGAGGTTTGAATCTTTATCTTTGAGTTCCAATCTTTTCTTTAAATTTTATATTAAATATTTAAATCCTATAGAATTTAAATACTATAATCAAAATAAATAAATTTCAAAACAAATTTTTTTACATCAACTCTCTTTAAATTAACCTATTAATCATTCAAATATACATCAATATTTATAAATATATTATATATTTTAATTAATTTTTACATTCTATAAACAATTACAATATGACAATGTTTACTAATATCATATCTGCACCAATGAACAAGATATTCTAATCTATTTTGGCCCTGCATTGAATCTAAGACTTCTTCCACCTAGAATTTTTGATTATTGTCTATTTCTATAGAAAGATGTGGCATTTATCTTCTTTTAATATTCATTGTTTTATATGGCTCAAGAAGAGATGCATGGAATATGGAATGGATTTTCATAGACTCCAATAGATATAATTAATAAGTAACAAGATTGACTTATTTATTTATAGAAAAAGGTTTAAGCCTACAATAGTCGAACTAGTCACAAAGATGAGTAGTCCTCATATTGGAATGAAGTAGCCATATTTTGTCACCCACATTGAATTATAATTGTTCCTTGTGATAGGCATTCACATTAATCTTTTGTTGTTCTTGAGCTACTTTTAACTATGCCTTTATTATTGCATGTAGTTCTGACAAATGATTTGCCAAACCTTTTGCTGTAAAATTATTAACTTTTAAAAAGTCAAAAGTATTAAGTTATAGATGATAATCATAATTGGCATAAAAAAGTGTTTGTTGAATAGAAGAATATACCAAATTATAATATACAAACTGTGCCAATGACAAAAAAGTTGTCCAATCATCTTGATAATAATTAATGGTATATCTCAAATACTATTCTAAAACTTGATTCATCCATTCCGTTTGTCCATTAATTTAAGGATGAAAAGTCAAAAAAAGCTTTATATTAATCTTTAATATCTTAAAAATGATTTTCTAAAATCTTTATATAAATTGAGTCCTTCTATCTAATATAATATCCTTGGGCAATTCATGATAGTAATAGATATTGTTAAGAAAAAACTTAATGGTTTTTTAACCCGTGATAGATTTTATATATAAAACAAAATGTGCCATTTTAGTAAAATGATTTACTATCACAAATATAGAATCATATAAACTTGAGATCAGAAGACCTATAATAAAATCCATAGAAATAGAAGACCTTAATTATTCCAAAATAGGTAATGGCTAAAGAAGTCTACAAGATCAATGATGAGGAGTTTTGGATCTTGAACAAATATCACATGATT